ATGAACTATAACCCCCAGATTCCCACTTTCATTTTTTTAAAAAGAGTCAGTTGCATTTGTACAAGCTGAGACATGAAGTCAAAGCAATGGGCTCCATTTTTATCAATTCTGGTGTAAGAGAAACTCGCTTGCTCCTTCCTTTGAAACTTTTAACTTTGCACCCCATTGGAAAAGCCGTGGGTGCACCTGCTGCCACTGACAGAGGGCGCATGGCAAGGGTGTGTCATGATGATGTTGGGACCAGGGCTGCCCTAAGACCCTGTCCTACCTGAGGGTGGGGTCTTCCGGAACAGATTGGGGGAGAGGAAATGGAAGTCCTGCTGCGGCAGCAGAATGACAACAGCGCTTCATTCAATACAACGCATTGCATTTTGAAACATGTTACACAGGTGTAATGGAGGAGGGGATCATGACAGGGATGTCATGGTCCCTTGTTTTACTGTCTGGAACAGCGTGGCCTTGAGATACTCAAAACAATATTTGCATAAGAAATGGACCTTCTAGAATCTTCCAGCACTTTCCAGTTTCTGCTTTAGTCATGACAGAGGGAGCCAGGGTGGTGGGGTGTCGGACAAGGACCTGTCAGAGACCAGGGTCCTCACCCCCACTCGGTCAGGAAGTTCACAGCTTGACTTGGGCACTCATAAATGGTGACAGCAGCCACGAAATTAAAAGACGCCTGCTTCTTGGGAGAAGGGCAATGACAGGCCTAGATAGCATCTTGAGAAGTAGAGACGTCACCTTGCCAACAAAGGTCCGTATAGTTAAAGCCATGGTTTTCCCAGTAGTGATGTATGGAAGTGAGAGCTGGACCATAAAGAAGGCTGATCGCCGAAGAATTGATGCTTTTGAATTATGGTGCTGGAGGAGACTCTTGAGAGTCCCATGCAAGAAGATCAAACGCATCCATTCTTAAGGAAATCAGCCCTGAGTGCTCACTGGAAGGACAGATCGTGAAGCTGAGGCTCCAGGACTTTGGCCACCTCATGAGAAGAGAAGACTCCCTGGAGAAGACACTGATGCTGGGAAAGATGGAGGGCACAAGGAGAAGGGGGCGACAGAGGACGAGATGGTTGGATAGTGTTTTCGAGGTTACCAGCATGAGTTTGACCCAACTGCGGGAGGTAGTGGAGGACAGAGGTGCCTGGCGTGCTCTGGTCCATGGGGTCATGAAGAGTCGAACACGACTAAACGACTAAACAACAACAACTCCCTCTCAGCTAACCCAACTCACACGAGTTGTTGTGAGGATAAAACAATGAAGTGCAGGGGAAAGAGGCAAACCAAAATATATACACTGGGCTGAATTCAATGACCCCATTCTGCTAGTGCAGAGCTTTCCAAACTTTGTCGGCTGGAAAGGGGTTAGTTTAACCTCCGGTTTGCTAGTAAAACTGAATTGCCATGTCGTGAAATGATGTGTGTCTAAAAAGTGTGTCGCCAACATGAAAAGTTGGGAAAGCTCTGTGCTAGTGGAAACCCACCCTATCCCATCTTCCCCAAATACACCCTGGAGTGTTAAGAGAACCCCCAGATCAGCGTTTGGGGGGGGGGAGAGAGAAGGGATATTGTTCCGCAGGGGAGCAGAAATTCTTACACTGACAGAACAATCTCTGTAGCTGTACACTGAATTGCACCCATGGCTTCAAGTTTTTTGGAGTGGGGTCGAGGAGGGTTATCCATTTGTTTGGTTCTTTTTATTTTGCATTTTGTGTTCTTATCTTGTATTTTTATGCTTTGAACCACCCTGAGATAAAGGACAGCATGCAAATTTAATGCATACCGTATTTTTCACTCTATAAGACGCACCAGACCACAAGACGCACCTAGTTTTTGGAGGAGGAAAAGAAGAAAAAAAATATTCTGAATCTCAGAAGCCAGAACAGCAAGAGGGATCGCTGTGCAGTGAAAGCAGCAATCCCTCTTGCTGTTCTGGCTTCTGGGATAGCTGCGCAGCCTACATTCGCTCCATAAGACGCACACACATTTCCCCTTACTTTTTAGGAGGAAAAAACTGAGTCTTATAGAGCAAAAAATACGGTAAATAAAATTTGATGGGACGGTGGAATAGAAATGAAACCTTAGATCAAACCACCATGACCTTTCATAATTATCCGTTTATTTACATATTTTTATCCCACCTTCTGAGTGGAAAAAAGGTAGAAACCCCATCATGAATACATATTAAAACAATACAATATGAAATATGTAACATAATCAGCAGATCCCGATGTTGATCTTTCTCCCCACCCCCCCACCTTTGTCCCTGATATCGATCTTCACCCACCCTGGTGGGGAAGGGGGTGTGTGCCCCATTTTGGGGTTTGACTCAAGTGCCAAAATGTCTTAGGCCAGCCTTGATGCTTATTGTGGCGTTTGCCCGTTCTTTTTAAAATATCTGTACAGGGGGAGAGAAAGAGTTAATAGGTAGACCAATAGAAAAGCCAGAGGCTGAGCCTACCTGTTTATAAAAGGGCTTAGCCAGAGGTTTGAGTTGGTTGGTTGGTTAGGAAAGGCAGTTGGGAAAGCAGTTGACAGACAGTTGGAAATAGAGAGACAGTTAGTGCAGTTGGTTCTTGTGTGAGGGGAGGTAGAAGAGAGACAGGATAAAATAAGACTGAGAAAGGAAAGAGTAACAATGTTTTGAATGCAGTTAAGGTTCATTTGTGTTTGCAATAAACTGCACTCTCCTTTGTTAACTTAAGGACCTGACTGAGACTAAGTAATTTACCAGGGAGGACCTGGTTGGTGGCAGCGGATTAGTGGCGTACGGGTCAATAGTCTGTGAGACGACTGGGGGCTCCGTACGAACACCACACTTATTGAGATGTTTTCCTTCACTTATGACTACATAAAAGTTTATTATGTTTTTGTTTTTATGTAAATTTGTTGGTGATGCAAGCCACCTTGAGCATGGCTTAAAAATAGGAAGGCAGCATACAAATAAATGAAGATAATGATGATTATCTCCAGGTAAGGCTAGGAGTCTGGAACCCTGGAGAACTGCTGCCAGTTAAGAGCAGACAACACTGAGCTCCATTATTATTATTATTATTATTATTATTATTATTATTATTATTATTATTATTTATTATGTATTTGTTCCTTTTTTCAAAAAATGAAACTCAAAAGCACCTTACAAAATCTGAACACTAAAAACAAGGGTAAGAGCAGCCTCAAATATGCAAATAGTGTAGAAGAGCAGCCTAAAATATGCAAATAGTGTATAATTTTTTTGGACTCTGGGTGAGGACCTAGAGGCTGAGAGGCAGGGTGTCAGAAGGAAAATGAATGAATATTGATTTATATATATTAGTAATTTTGTATTAATGTAACATTTGTATATGTTGCCTAAGATGGTTGAGAGTAAAGCAATGGCACTTGCAAAAAGTTATCTGAACCATTGAGGTGGTAGAGAGGCAGCCTGTTCTTCCCTCACTGATTTTTCCTTAGGCTTTCCTTCATTCTTCTTCAATCAGTTAGTGTTTGATCTTCCTTTCATTAACCATGATGGACACATGTAAGCTTGTACTCAGAATGGTTTTTTGTTTGCAAGGAGTATTAAATCTTATGTTTCTTTGTCCCAAATATTTATTTCTAAATTCTGCAGCAATATAGATCCCAAACTCTAAAAAAAATACATTATTTCCCTCTGCGTTGGAACGGAATTATTCCAGTGACTATATCTGCTCACGGACAGGATTGGAAAATGGTTTTAAGATGACTGGTGCTCATTTTGAAGCCAGTTGCAAAGCTTTGGTCACCAGTCCTGCAGAAGAAGTAGATTTACGTATATGAAGACCAACAGAGAGTCATGGGAGATGCCTTAGAGACAAAAGCCATATTTGTGAGGATGCAGAGTCACAGATGCAGGAACTGTATACTTAAAGACTGCATATGCAACCATGCATTTAAAGAGCATGACTCCCCCCAAAAGAAACCTGGGAACTATAGTTTGTCAAGAGTGCTGGGAACTGTAGCTCCATGAGGGTAAGCTGGAATATTTGGGGGGAATTATGTGCTTTAAATATTGTTGTGTATGGAGCTCAACTTCTCCTATCAAACAAAGACTTCTGAAGATGTTATTTCAAAGGTCCTGTTTCTATACGTTTTCCCTAACACAGCCGTACCTTGGTTGACGAACGCCTTGTGACTTGAACGTTTTGGCTCCCAAATGCCGCAAATCCAGAAGTGAGTGTTCCGGTTTGCGGAACATTCTTTGGAACCCAAACGTCTGATGCGGCTTCTGACTTGCTGCAGGAACTTCCTGCAGCCAATCGAAAGCCGCGACTTGGTTTCCAAACGTTTTGGAAGTCAAACAGAGTCCCGGAACAGATTCCGTTTGACTTCCGAGGTACCACTGTATCCAGAACAGCAGGCTTTTTCAACCTGGTGCCAGATGTTTTGGATTACAACTCATCAGCCCCAGTCAGCCCAGCTGGATGGCGCCAACTTAATGAAGGCTTCCAATGCAGTTTGGAGTTCCAAGGATGTTTTCTGTACTGTAATTTCCAATTCTACACCAGCCAACATGAAAAACCCCAGCGGTTACATCTGAACAGGTAAAGGTTTAAAACAGCTGTTGACCACAGACTGAGAGGAGTGACTGGTATGCAGGGAGTTCAGAACGGCTGTTGGTCTTCAAGGATACCACTGCAGAAATTCGCAATGTTCTCCTCTCCCATCTAAATCACTTTACACCTGTTAGAATACAGACCCAGAGCCAATGAGAAGAAGAGTTTGGATTTGATATCCCGCTTTATCACTACCCGAAGGAGTCTCAAAGCGGCTAACATTCTCCTTTCCCTTCCTCCCCCACAACAAACACTCTGTGAGGTGAGTGAGGCTGAGAGACTTCAAAGAAGTGTGACTGGCCCAAGGTCACCCAGCAGCTGCATGTGGAGGAGCGGAGACGCGAACCCGGTTCCCCAGATTACGAGTCTATCGCTCTTAACCACTACACCACACTGGCACACAATGAGCAACTGCAAACACTGAGACTCTGTGTAAGGCGATGTTGGCTGTTCACGTGCCATCCTCAAAACATACATTTATTCCATAGCAGGGGAGGGGGAGAGAATGCATCATGTACATAGGAAGCTGTATTATTGCACTAATCACTCACCATTGGCCCATCTAACTTAGTATTGTCCACACTGACTGGCAGCAGCTTTCCAGGGATTCAGACAGATTTCCAGAACTACCTGGAAATACCAGAGAATGAACCTTGGTTCCTCTGCATGCAAGACATACTCTACCACTGAGCTATGGCCACTGTTCCAAGGACAGACAGAGAACAACAACAACAAATCCATGGGTGGCTATTTAGACAGTTCCTGAAACACGTTTCCCTTTCCATTATCACCCCATTCCAGTGACATTACATTATGTTCCCCTCAGTTCTCTGGGCCTTATGCCAAACTCTTCCTTAGGACGTGAATATCCCTAGGATGCCTCTCCCGGGTGGATTTTCATGTGTCCTATGAAAAACAGAGGAGCTACAAAACCTTTTCTCGCACACCAAGCACTCATACGGCTTTTCTCCCGTGTGGATCCTCTCGTGCACAACAAGGTTGGATTTCTTACTGAAGCTTTTTTCACAGTACGAGCATCGGTGGGGCTTCTCTCCCGTGTGCACGATGGCATGTTTCCGGAGGTGAGAGCTGGAGACGAAGCTTTTCCCGCACTCGGAGCAGCCGTATGGTCTCTCCCCGGTGTGGGTCCTCTCGTGTATGACGAGGCGTGATCTCTGGCTGAAGCTTTGCCCGCAGTCCAGGCAGTGATACGGCTTCTCTCCGGTGTGCGTCCTTCTATGGGTCTTCAGCTGGAAGCTGGTCCTGAAGCTCTTCCCACACTCGGTGCACTCGTAAGGCTTCTCTCCCGTGTGTGTTCTCTTGTGTTTGATAAGGGAGGCGATCTCCCTGAAGCTGTTGCCGCAGTCGGAGCACTCATGTGGTTTCTCGCCCGTGTGGGTCCTTTTGTGAATCACGAGCTGGAAGCTGATCCGGAAGCTTTTCCCGCACTCAGAGCACTCGTACGGCTTCTCTCCCGTGTGGGTCCTCTCGTGTTTCACCAGAGAGGCTCTCTCACTGAAGCCTTTGCCGCAATCGGAGCACTTGTGCGGCTTCTCGCCGGTGTGCGTCCTCTTGTGGAGTTTAAGGTGGCAGCTGATCCTAAAGGTTTTCCCGCAGTCGGGACATTCGTAGGGCTTCTCTCCCGTGTGGGTCCTCTCGTGTTTAATGAGGGCGCCCCTCTCGATAAAGCTCTTGCCGCAGTCTGAACATTTGTGGGGCTTTTCTCCCGTGTGGATTCTCAGGTGCTTAACAAGTATCCCCTTTTCGCCAAAGGCTTTTCCGCACTCTGTACACTCGTACGGCTTCTCCCCTGTGTGTGAACGCTCGTGTTTGATCAGGGTGGATTTTGCATTGAAGCTTTTGCCACAACTCGGGCATATGTACGGCTTCTCCCCTGTGTGGATTCTCTTGTGTTTAACAAGGTTTGTTCTCCAGCTGAAGCTTTTCCCGCATTCGGAGCAGATGTATGCTTTCCCTCCGGTGGGGGTCCTCTCGTGGGGAAGCAGGGATGCTTTGCTGCTATTAGAGATTTTTCCACAGTGCGTGTATTTATGCAGTTTATCTTTTGCTCGTATTTGCTGACCCTCAGGCAGATAAATGTCCAGGTGACATTGCTGTTCACTGTTGGAACTCGTCTTTTTCCTAAATGGGAAGGTCGTTTCATTAAAGTTTTGGCCCCTTCCCCATACAGGAAGCCTTGCTCTACGCTCTTCCCAAGTGCCAGTCTACCCCCTGTTGACTTCCAGACTTTTCTTCCATCCCAGGCCCCCAGAAAAACATTCCTCCAGCTCTTTCCAACGGTGTGCCACAGGCATCCATGTCCCCAGGTTTTTCCGGCTCAAAGGTCTCTTCCTCGTTCTTCAGTACCTGACCATCATATTCTGAAACGAAAGAGACCCACTTATTTATTTAAATTATCGTAAGAACTCATAAATCATGCAACATAATGTAGCAACTCAAGAGTACTCCCTTTCAGGATTCTAGTCACCCCAATCCACCCCCCTTCCACCCCGCACGATCAATAAACTTTCCATGACCATGGCTCAGTCCTCATTAGGCGATTTGGGAATTCCACACACACCCCACACATAATATCATCAAATTGTAGAGTTGGAAGGGACCCTATGGATCATCTAGTCCAACCCCCTGCAATACAGGAATATGCCACTCTCCCAAATGGGGATTGAACTGGCAACCTTGGCATTATCAGCATCATGGTCTAACAAACTGAGCTATCTTCACATTTAGATTCCCTCCCCCAATAGTTCTTCAAATCTTCAGGGTCAGGCCCAAGTTCACAGACACTTTCCCCTTGTGTGTGGATGGTGCCATTTTGGCTACCTAAATAATCAGTACCTGAAGAACTGAGATTATCAATTATATTACGATTACTGCTGAGAAACGTGTTAAGATGAAGGAACATTTGGCAAACCCTCACTGTGATCAACTCCCACCCAGAAAGGACGTGTGGATCCAGAATTGGCCTCCACAGTCACTTATGGACTCACTGTTAAGACCGTGTTCATGGAAGACAATCTTTCTCAGCTATGAGTGATCGCCAGAGAAGACTATTTTTATTGTTGGAGAATTGAGATCATCGTCATTATTGTTTGCAAACCGCTGCTGGCATATAACACCTTGCACTATCTACAGAGGCTTCAAGAAGATCCCAGGGAGGTATTTAGGCTGGTTGAGCTAGCCCTGCTTCAAATCCTTACCCGCTGAGCTTGCCTCCCAGTCATATTCTTGCTTGACCTCCAGCTGCAACTTTACAATGTCCAATGGATCTTCCTCCGATTTCGGGGATTTTACAGTCACAACATCAAGGGGCCCTGGCGCCTGAAACAGAAAATGGAGACATGGTTAAGGTGCAACAAAATGCTCGCAAGGATTAATGCTTTGGTCTGCTTTCCACTCCCTCTACATTTAGCTCCCCCTTGCCAAGCTAGCCAGCTCAACAGAAGAAAAGATAAAGAGGCTCAATTCACCCAACCCGTCTAAAGTTGCGAAGGCAGGAAATGTCTCCACGTAGGTATCTCCAGGTTGTGTGCAGGTCTGTCTTTCCTAGGGCAACAGGATGGCCAGTGGTCAGGGATGCACCACAGCTCTCCAGATAGACAACCTGCCTGTCTGACCCAGGTATTTGCCAGTTTGGGGCTCTGTCAAGGTTCAAACAGCCCCTGTGCCTTTACGCAGCAGTTTATCTGCAGCAATTAGCAGAAGGTTCATTTCCATGCCATGAAACCAAGGAAGCTGCAGCTGCCGAATTCCACAGAGCAAATCGCTCTTGGCTCTTGAAAGCACAGCAGGCCACACTGCTTCTCTCCACCACCACCACCCTTCTAGCTGACAGCCACCAGACCCAAGCACCTGGCTGCCCTGGCATCACCCATTGGCACCTGCTCTAGAATCAGCAGCTCTTGAGATCTTCCCCTTGGCATCTACTCTTCTCCACATCTACAGATAGCCCAGAGGAAGCTGCCTTGTACTGAGCCAGATCATTGGTCCATCTAGCTCACTAATGTCTACACTGACTGGCTCTCCAGGGTTTCAGGTGAGTTTCTTTCCTAGCCCTGCCTGGAGATGCCAGAGATTGAACCTGGGACCTTCTGAATGCAAGGCAGATGCTCCTCTACTGAGCTATCCCCCTTCCCTAAGTTTCTGAAGTCATCTGAATACCTCTTGCAGCCCATCAGCATCCTGGTAACAAAACTGATGGAAGTGCTGGGGTTGGTCCTCCACGTCAGCTTCCTCCTCCAGTATTTCTTCCTTCACTTTCACACAAGAGTCCAGGTCTTCATGGGCCTCTCCACACACATCCAGATGGGTTTGAGCCGTACCCTCTCCTCCTGGCCCCTGTGTGACGTCAGCAACTCTCTTCAAGGAGACCTGACATTCCATTGTGTCATCCTCTGGCCATGGATCAGGCTGCTGGGAGCTGCTCCTCTCTTGTGGGGGTGACTCTACCGTCTTTAGGAAATCCTGCCATTGGCTCTCCCAGCGTTGCTGCAGCCCCTCCTCGGGCTCCTGCTTAACTCGTGGAGGGCCTTCCCCAGTCAGAAACTCATGGACAGTCCCAACCTGGACAACATGGCCGTCTCTGTCTTCTGCCATTGAGCTGTCTTCTGGTTTGGCTGCAGAAGGTTCCTCTTCCTCCATCTTTATTCCTAGCTGTGCTTCCAGGACTAAAAAATAAATTGAGGCTTGTTTATAACAATCTGTCACAATGGGGGGGGGATACCCTGACAGTGGGAAATGAGATAACCGAAACATGAGAAATAGCATATATAGTAAAATTGACAGAGCTTGTTGGAAGGAAAGCAACATTATCTTTGTTTTATGGGGAAATGTATATTTATAAAGAATTAGGTGCAATAAAATACAGGAAAATGCAAAGCTATATACTTTTGTTGGGAGCTGTAAGTCAGTAACATGAACAATTATTTTTGGAATTTGTTTGCCATTCTTACAGTCTGTTTTTATTGTGTGTGCATATATGTGTGTGTATATATATGTCTTCTCTTATTGATATTGCACTTTAATACTGCATCAGTGATAACAAAGATGCAAAAAGAAAAAACGGAGCTTTAATGTGTGCACAGTGCAATTTTTAAATTATTGTTTTATTCTCTACAAACACTGATATTTATATGCAATGCAATAGTGATCTAAATCTATCATAAAGGTATAAAAGTTGCATGCAAAATATAGTATTAGGACAGGTTCTTACAGTCAACAAATATTTGCACTGTGCAGCAATAAATAATGAGTGGATAATTAAAGGGACAATATAACAATTAGAGCTTTTCTGAAATGCCGAGAGTGGAATTCAATAGCACTAAGCGGGGTTTGCCTGTCCTGAATCTTCCAACATTCAGCTACATTGGAAGGCCCCAAATTCTACTATTATGAGGGAGAAAAACATATGCCTGTTTTGCTTTCTCTGCACCATGAACAATCTTAATAAACCTCTATCATCCCTCACGCCCATTGCTTGCATTTTTCTAAACTAAACAGCCCCAAACATTGTAAGCGTTACTCAGAGGCAGGGAGGAGGCAACCCTAGCAAGCTTCCCAGTTGACCACATGAAGAACAGGATGCAGGGGTAGATGGGCCTTTTATATTTGGTCAGATCCAGCAGGGCAACTCTCATGTTGTCAAGCACAGCAAAGCAGCTCACTGCGCCTTAAACAAATCAACAAATGCGTGCGGTAAATTTGGCCACCTTTTAAGGTGCCACATGGCGTCCTGCTATTCTTGCTCCAACAGACTGTCATGTGGCAATGAATCCCAAAGGTTCTGGGCAGCTCCACAGAGTGTTCTGTGCCTGATTTCACCTGATTTCACTATTTGCTGGAAGCGGAGGCAGCTTCCCTCAGAAGAAATATGCGATGGGGTCTTGGTAGGGGGTTAGATTGGATGACCCTTTAGGTCCCCTTTCAACTCTACAATTATTCTATGGTGACACCAGACTTGGTGGACCTGGCACATATTCCAGATGTGGGTGGGCTCCAGCTCCTTTGGGCACCAGCCAATGGAACATCTGGAGGGAACTGGGTTTCCCTCCAGAGATCTAGCGCATGTGGGGCTTTGAAGGAAAGAACCAGCACCTTGACATTAACCTAGAAACAGGTTTGCCCATGCCCTTGATTGGGCTGCTTAGAGCAGGGGTAGGCAACCTAAGGTCCGGTGGCCAGAAGTGGCCCAATCGACTTCTCAATCCAGCCCGCAGACGGCCTGGGAATCAGCGGTTTTTTACATGAGTAGAACGTGTCCTTTTATTTAAAATGCATCTCAGGGTTATTTGTGGGGCCTGCCTGATGTTTTTACATGAGTAGAATGTGTGCTTTTATTTAAAATGCATCTCTGGGTTATTTGTGGGGCATAGGAATTCGTTCATTCCCCCCCCCCCCAATAGTCCAGCCCACCACATGGTCTGAGGGTCACTGGACCGGCCCACAGCTGAAAAAGGTTGCTGACCCCTGGTTTAGAGTGAGGGAAGAGCAATAAAGGGGGCTGGTTGCATCTATATGCACAGCAACATTTGCACCCTTTTGATCTGGAAGGTGCCTCTCTCTCTCTCTGCAGTCATGGGTTTTGGGCTCTCTCCCCCCCCCCTTTGTAGCTGTGCTCTGTCCCCTCCCTCCTGCTGCTCCTGCACCCAGGCATCCATTCGGCTTCGACTCACCTGCTCCCAGCAGCCCTTGCAAGGCACCCTGAGCCCCTCTGCTGCAGCCTCCCAAACTCCTCCACGTTTCTCAGAGAAAGGGGAGGGGCAGGAAGGTGGCTTCTCTTGCCACACCTCCCCCTTCCTCAGCTTCTGTGGACGCTCTAAGCGCCAGAGCTCTGTGCGTTTAACCCCATGAGTCCCTCTTAGAGAGAGAGGGAGGGAGGGAGAGGAGCCAATTCCTAGCGACCAAAGTCCCTTCACCAATAAAATATTTGACAGGGCTGCCCCCCCCCCACCAAGTTGATAGGCTTTGCCGTTCAAAGGTTCGTGTGTGTTGCATCCTGCGATTATGTGGGGCAGGCTTACCTCCCCCCGCCAATATTTTATTCAAGTTGGAGAGAGATGGCTAACCTGCCGGGAAAATATGCAAAAACATAAAGAAGAGCCTTGCAGAAGCAGAGCATAAGGTCCCAGCTAGTCAGGGTGGCCAGTAAAAAATGTTTACAGTGGAACGGTCTCCCACTGGAGGTTGTGGACTCTCCTTCCTTGGAGTTTTTTAAGCAGAGGTTGGATGGCCACCTGTGTGAGATGCTTTCGTTGCAATTCCAGCATTGCAAGGAGTTGGGACTGGATGATCCTTGGGGTCCCTTCCAATTCGTTCTTCTGCTTTGCCACACTCAACGATCCCCCCTCTTCTCCCCACCCCACTGTTCTGGGGATTCTCCTGCCCCTCTAACCGTTTTGGGGAGGGGACCTCAATGAGCTTGTGGGAACTCTTATTGCACTGCCTTCTGCTATTGTTCAGGGTCAGCTGAATCTGGCTCTTTCCCCAAAAATCTTAAAAATAATCAGCTCAATGCTTAATTGTGCAGGATCTCTGGTAGTTTTTATCAGGTTTTCTTGGGTGAAATGTTCCTGATCCTTTTAGCTTACAATAAATATGTGTTTCCCAAACTTTTCATAGCCAGGGTACCTACTTTCTAATTATGTTCAAAAGGCTTGTGACTGAAAATAGACAAGCCTGTAGCAGTGATTCACTCAAGACGTGCAAATGAGACATACTGTATGGCAGTTTGCCGTTCATTGCTTTGAGGCATTGTCTTGTCACAACAGGTAACCCTTGCAACGAAGTTTGGAAACCTCTCTTTTTAGGACTGTTTAGTACAGAGGCCATGACTAGGAACTTTTCCCCAGCCCCAAGGGCCGCATTCTGTTCTGTGCAACCTTCCGAGGGCCATATTCCAGTGACGAGTGGAGGCGACAATCAAATGCAGCAATGAATGCAATTCCCCCCTTTGTACAGTAGGCTGCTTTCTACACACACACTTGCACACCCCTCACCATCCCCAGTTCAGGCAAGGAAGAAACAAAACTGTTTTATTTCTCATTATCTGATACTTATCTAACTTGGACTGCATGCACCGTGCATTTAAACCACATGGTTTCCTCCTCAAAATCCTGGGCTCTATAATTCACTCTGGGGTGTATAGGGTGTTAAAAGGTAAAGGTACCCCTCCCCGTACGGGCCAGTCTTGACAGACTCTGGGGTTGTGCGCCCATCTCACTCAAGAGGCCAGGGGCCAGCGCTGTCCGGAGACACTTCCGGGTCACGTGGCCAGCGTGACAAGCTGCATCTGGCGAGCCAGCGCAGCACACAGAAACGCCGTTTACCTTCCCGCTAGTAAGCGGTCCCTATTTATCTACTTGCACCCGGGGGTGTTTTCGAACTGCTAGGTTGGCAGGCGCTGGAACCGAGCAACGGGAGTGCACCCCGCCGCGGGGATTCGAACCGCCGACCTTTCGATCGGCAAGCCCTAGGCGCTGAGGTTTTTACCTACAGCGCCACCCGCGTCCCTGTATAGGGTGTTAGGGGAAGGGTAATACCTCTGGCGGGGGACACATCATGCTCCTCCTGAGGTAGTTTGTCCACCTTTGGTCCCCACCCTGCACTCAGCTCTTTCTTGTGGCTCCTAGAAGCGATCAAAATGTGACAGCGGCCACACCCTGGGGAACAGCTTCAACTGCCCAGCTAAACCAAGTGAGGGGAGCCAATGGGTCTCAAACCCTCGGTGAGTAAGGGGCTTCCCCTGCATGTGAAGACAGGCTCTCAGACCAAGAGTATGTCCAATGGTCAAGAAAGCGATTTCTGCATGTGCTGTACAGGGAAGTGAGGGGCAGGCGGGGTTTGTCAACCTGGGGAAGGAGCCCATCTAGGAGAAGGAAAACTCTGATCCTAAACCTCCACTGATTTACCAGTATACCCATTCATAAGAAGGGCTTTTGGAGTAAACCCTGAGGAGCAATCCATACCCATCGCCTTGCAGGATATTTTGGGGAGAAGAAATGGCTAAGGAGTAAACTCTACACAAATCCAGAGTGGAGCTCCTAAGGTGGTTACGCCTTGTACGCCTCCTTCCGGCAACTCCTGCAGCCAATCTGGTGCCAAATGCCTTGCTCTGAACGATCGCACCTGACCCACATTGGAAGAAGATGCTCACAGCTGACAACGGTTGGAAGGAGTCAAGAGGAAGTGAAGGGCTCCAGCGCAGGAAACACAGACAAGAGACCTCAAAGGAAAGACAGGAATCTGTTTATTAGAGGCCCAACGTGCTTCCAATAGTTTCCTCAGAGGAACTGCTGAGAACAGTCTTATAAACACCGCCTTCATTTCCTCAAAGCAGCCAATCCCAGACCCCGGAATCATACAGAGAAGCGGCTGGGAGACTCTGCTCTGGCCAAGTGCTTTGGTATAGTGTCAAGACTAGGACTGGAGGCATTGGGGATCACAATTCCTCCTCTGCCACAGAACTCCCTGTGCGACCTTGAGCTACTCATTCTCAACTCAGTCTAACCTACTTCACAATGCTGTTTTGTGAAGGGACAAAGGAAGGGACAGCAGCGTAATATAAATAATACAGGTATTCTAAAAACGAGCCTTTATTTCTCTCTCACAGTGGACCAGGGCTTCCTTCGAGACCTAGGAAGGTG